CGTAAATAAATTTTTCCCAATATCCAATCTAAGCCTCCCCTGGTGTAACTTGAGGCCACTTCCTCTTGTCCTATCGCTTGTTACTCAGAAGAGACCAACACCCACTTCACTACAACCTCCTTTCAGGTAGTTGAAGAGATCAATGAGGTCTCCAAGTGAAGCCCATTCTGCTCTAAAAATACCCACACTGAACACTTAAAACTATGTTCCAAAATCCAGTTTAGATACTGAAAGATAGGAAGTTTGATTTTAAAAGTGCTAAGCAAGCTCAGCTCCCATTCACTGGAAAGGGACCTGTGAAATCTTTGTAAATCAAGTCACTTCTATTAAGGTGTCTAGATACGATTTTAAGACCTTTACCAGGAGCAGTCAGCTTTGGAAATTCTGGATAAACACCTTACAGAAGCAGGGTGATACTCAGTGCTGAGTGCCTGTGTCTGACTACATATAGAAATACACAGAACACACAGTGAATGATGGGAAAGAGGAGAGAGGATAAGGAATGCTCAAGCGCTAACAACCACAAACATGTACAGAGGAAGAGAGTTTTACGGCTTCAACATATGTAAACTTTGACTTAGTTTTAAATTAGCACCTGCTCCTAGACTCTGCATATTTCCTGGAAAAAAAAGTAAAATTAACTCAATACCAGGGTAGAACATGAAAAACTGAGCAGTTACTGAAGCAAGAGAAGCTGTCTATACTCAGGCCATCACATTCATCAGGCAAAGACAAGGAAGATAAAGGACCTGGACAGAATAGATACAACAAAATATATTTCAATACATACTACAGAAGTTTCCGTCTCCCAGTTCAGGAAAACAGCTCCCCTAAACTGATACATACTTCCTTCCAGCAGGCAAGGAAAACCTCTTCCTAGCCTCTCCCAGCTCCACTAACAGGCCTGCCTTATACATCACCAGATCTCTACAGCCCCAGTGCACATATGCACTATCTAGAGGCCAGAGTACAGTGACAATAAATTCAGTGGGTTACACACCACCTGTCTGCGCTCAGCACAAACTTTCGGACTATGCTTGTGGCTAACGTTAACCCATGGTGGCCAGAAGCACTCTACTGTTTTTTATCAGTGACCTATAACAGCTTGTGCTATAAGACTTTAACCTGCTAAATGACATGCCATCAGCAAAACCACCGGGATTGTTAGACTGCCCCATGCCTGAAGTACACTACAAAATGTACAGAGAAGCAGCAACCCATTCCCACTCCACAAACTCTTGGTTTCCGATGCAATTGCCAGCTTCCACTTTGCGGGCAGCGTGTTCTAAAAAGCCAGAGGAAGCTGCTGCTGCCTTGGTCAGGTGTTGCCAAAGAGCAAAGAGCAGTGGCCACAAAGACCACGTCACAGACACATGTTCCTGCCAGGGAAAGTCTGCACTGCAGCATTACAAGATACTTCTTAATAGACCAAACTTCCCGTACAGCTCTCCAGTGCTTAAGTTCAGCCACTGCTTGGTCTTCAGCACACTCCCACTGCGTCTCGGGATGTTGGGCAATTCCAGCAGATCTGTTTGAGTTACTGTTTTCTTTCTAAAGGTCATTGTCCAAAGGAATAAACTTGAGTGGGGCTCGAGGGTTCAAAAAGTTGCTTAGCTAGGCTGCCTCACTGCTATTTGACCTGAAATGAACAAAACTAGATAATATAAAGTATCTGGATTCTGGAAGTTGAAGTGCTGCCCTGCTCCAGAGCAGAGACTTAAAATTCTCATCTTTGATGTCACTTGCAGTAAATGAATTTGCTGGCAAGACTGTTAGAGAATCACTCTGCACCTAATGACTCTCACTACTGTGTAGTTCAGAAAGTCTTTGAAAAGCACTTCTAGGAAGTGAAGAAAATAATTTAAGATTTTGTTAGATAACTGAGTCATCTTCATCTTTGATTTTATACTGTGGTAGCCCAGAGAGTTTGTCCTCAGTTTCACTGGCAGGTTTTTCATTCTTTTGAAGTTTCATGATTTCTTGGATTGTGTTTCTTAAAAATACCTGGCTCTCATGGTTTAAATCTCAAGTACTGAGTAAAGTATCATAGCTGGACCTTAAAGTCTATCCTCCTTTAGAATTTGCTTGTGTCTAAAGTTACCTGAAAAAATGTGATAGGCTGTTCCATCCACTTCCACTCCACCTGAGACATACAAGGAAAGCTTGACAGACAGTCAGGTCCCTTGCAAAACCAAAGAAAAAGGAAATGGTGTCCTGGTTCAACATTTGCTTTTGCTCCACACTTTGTGAGGCCTATGATTACAAGGCAATAATTCTTGCTACTTCTACTCAAAAAACCAAGTGGGACAGAAATCTGCTGTTGAACAAGATCCATCAGCTTGCTAGTGGAGACTGGGAGTATTAAGACCCTTTACATTAGACAAGAGGTAGTGATACCGTGGAATTCATGATGATTTAATTCAATCGATAAGCATTGTCACCTCTTGCTTCATTTTGTGTCCCCCAGAAACACCAGCTCACATCCTTGCAGTCTCCTCATTTCAATTTAAATATTATTTTATAAAGACAAATTCCTCCGAAGCATTTAGTAGTGTGGCTATGAGAATAGAGAAAATTAACTATGTAGTGTAAACACACACTTTCTGTGTCTAATACTAAGGCCATTGCAATATGGTGCATTACATGTCAAGATGTCGTGTTTCCATATGAGAGATGGTGGTCAGGATGCTAAAAAGAATGGACAATGCCTTGGAACAGGTTCAGAAATCTGATTTAACTACAGGGCAGGCACCTAAACTAGTTCCTGCTCAACATGTAAATCCTGAAACTGCAATTTCTCATTTGTCTTTGGATTCTGAAAACCTCATATTTGAAGCTTTCTGAATGCTACTGCATTGCAGAGCATGAGTACTTAGCCTCTGAAAATACTGCTGATGGGATACTTCCACCCTTCACTTGGTGTGGGCTCGTCTCCAAGCCATACACTACGTCACCATCTTTGGGGCCAGCATCTCTGTGCCATTCAACATTTAGCAACTCTAGCAAAAGCCAAACAGAGGGCTGGGAAGCAGTTTTCTCAAGGGAAAAAATGTCCTTTCATTGTCGTTTTTTTTTCTGTGCCTGGGCATGTTAGATTTCACTATTAATCCTGACATAGACCTCATACTCAAAACATGCCTAAATAAAGCCCTCATAACAAATCAGGATTTATTATTCTAATCTCATTTAGGTCATACAGTGGCGTACAAAAGTACAAATGTAAGGCCTTAACCCCTAATCCTTAACGCAGCAAAAGCTTCCACTGGCTTCAAACAAAGTAATGCCCACACTTCAAGGGCAAGAACTCACGCGCACAAACTAATCAGAGTAATGCAAGTAGCTTTAAAGAAAGAAATCTGTGGTTTCATAATTTCAGCCAGTTCTTGACCTGAAGAAAAATTTCTAGCATTAAACAGGTTACACAGTGAATAGAAGCCGGAAAGAGACTCATTCTGTGAAACAGAAGCATCCGAACATCAGTGCCTTTGTTTCCTTTCGGAGTTTTGTCTCTGG